CGTCATTCCAAACTGAACGTTCATTGGTTTGACGCGGGAAAGGGGGCGGACATCGATAGAAAAAAAAACACACACAAAGCACTAGAATAGTGAAAGTTCACATTTTGTGTTAAATAAAATAAGCAGTCGGAACTACAGTGAAGACTCACATAAGTGCCAAACTATGTGACTCCTCAGATGGTTCTATAGTAAACCGTTTTTTAAGTTTATAATAAAACGAACTAGATTTTTTTACATTTTCTAAAGAAAACATGAGTGGTGTTTCTTTGTGGAAAGAATTTCATTTAAATGATCACATCCTTAGGTACAGTATGTTATTGGTTTAGTATGAAGAATTAAAATAACACAAAGAATGTACATACAACAATGAAACTTAGCATTGACAATATTTAATCAATCTTTTACAGCCTTGGACAATAATTGTACTCTTTAGTTAAATTTTTCTCTAGTGTATTAATTGGCCCCTAAAGTGCACACTGCCTGCATACTTTTCAAGTACCTCTCAACAATATGTACAGAACTGGCACAGTCACAGCAAACGCAGCACAGGTCAGGACTGTATTGTATTGAGTTGTTTTGTTGATCTGCGCCTCCAGTCTTTTCTCCGTTTGACCAAGGCCTTGAACGACTGTCTCTGTATCGCATACAAAAAGCTGCGCATCTCGGGTTTGAATGACTGGCTTCTCCGCGGGACGATACTGCAGGGTCGTCTTGACCGCCTGCAGCTCGGTCTCAACCTTCCCGACATTCTCCTCCAGCTGCTCCAGCTGTGGTTTAAGGCTTTCAATGAGCCCTTGGGCTCTTTGGCTGTGTTGGAGAATCTCTCGGATCGCTTCTTCTGAAGAACTGGATGCAGAAGTTGGGACGACGGCAGTTGCTGGTGGGACAAACGCTGGTTTGACTGTTTTCACATCTTTTACACTGCCTTTCAAAGCCATCCTGAGTGAGTCGATGAGGTTGCGGAGTTCGTCTTGTTGCGTTTTGTGCATGCTGGCCTGGACCTTGATGGCTTCCTGAAGACTCACCGGTCCCTTCTGGGCCTCCAGCAACAGGCTCTTGAGTTCCTGCAAACGTACCCGGTTTATATAAGTCGAACCCATCACGCCAATGACAGCGCCCAACACCGAACCAATAACGGACCAGTTTTTGGTACGTTCAGCCCTGGTCCGCTCTTTCTCGTGGCTCCCTCGCACGGCAGCAGAGAAGAGCGCAAACTTCTCTCGCTCGCCGCCTTCTGCGTTCTCATAGGCCGTTTTGAGACGCCGTTCTTCCTGTAAACGACAAAAACGTTAAAGGGAAGGTGCAATCCATATACGTATAGGGCTGGGCGATAAAACGATAATGAAAATAATCGCGATATAAATTTCCTCGATAAAACGATAAAGCCCCGTTCACACCAAGAACGATAACTATAAAGATAACGATATTAGCGTCCACACCAGCGAACGATATCGTCTGTTTATTCTAAGCGCACATGCGTCTGCCGCTTTAAATTCTTGAGCTCGTTACAGCAGAATGGATTCTGATTGGCTGTCAGTTGTTCGTTCATCAGCTGGAAAAAAAATAGTTTTGAAAGTGATCACAACGATATCGTTCCTCTGTATCGTTATCGTTATAGTTGTGGTGTGAACTATGCTATTCTTTAATATTGAGAACGATTTTTAGAACTAGATCTTTATCGTTATCTTTATAGTTATCGTGCTTGGTGTGAACGGGCCTTAAGAGTTTGATACAGTGGTTATGCACCAAAAGCAGAACGAATCAGCGCTACTCATGTGAACCACGTCACACGGACCATTTATCCACTCGGCTCAAACTTCAAACGGCAGCACAGCATGAGTTTACTAGAGCAAATGCGTTTACTCGCTGATGAGTCTTGGTCACATGACACTAAACAGCGCTGTGAGATCCAGAGTGAAGTGCTTGAATTCAGAGAAGAACACAAATGATTTAAACTAGTTTAAAGCCAGATGAAACAGCGCTGACAAACAGCAAAAACACTGTGCGCAATGATACAGTCAGAAGGCTTTTCAATCTACAAATCGCCATCATTTACCATGGATTTACTGTATTTAGAC